ACCCTGTTCAGAGCCCTGCCAGGGGAAAGGGGCCCCTTAATGCTCTCAGGGGGGTAGGGGCTCTGAACGATAGCTGGGGGGGGTCACCTTAACCCACAGCACCACAACAAATCCAATATCCAAGGGAGTCATAGTGCTGGGCCTGGGCCAGCGAGACACGGGGAGGGGGCAGGCAGGCAGGACAGGGGTGAAAGGGGAGGGGGCCATGGGAAGGGGAGGGGCCAGAGGACAGGAGAGGGCAGGCATGGGCCACAGCAGGTCTTGGATTCTGGTGGGTTTTTCATCAGACTGGGGAAACCAGGAGAGAAACCAGGAGGGACGGGGGAGGGGAGAACGTGGACTTCCTCCAGAAGTGCAGCTGCCCCCAAGTGAGTGGGAAGGGAGGCGGCGTCCATGGCCCCTAGGCATTGCAGAAGTCTTCGGTGCAGCAGCGGAAGTCGTGACGGATGAACGTGCCTCCGACTTGGTCCTGGCAATCTCTGAAGCAGCCCTGCTGTGCATAGAGAGGGAAGTTCCCTGGAAAAAGAGAGAGAGCCATGAGTCCCCAGGGCTTGGCGGCAGGGACAGACGCCTCCTCCCTAGGACTGTGCCAGAGGAATCCAGTGTCTGGTCCGGCCCCCCAGCCAGAGCATCACCAACTGAGCTGCCCCCCCGTCTGTCGATAGCCAGGAACCATGTCTCCTCTGTCACCCCCCGCCATTCCCTTCCCACTGCTCCAGGGGAAGAGACCTGCTGGTCCCATTCTCTGTCCTCGGGGACTCCCCAACCCCTGCCCTTCCCTACAGTCACAGTCACCGTTCTGGACTAAGGGATGAACATGGCTCCCTTCGGAGCTCCCCAGTGTCCTGCCAGCTTGGCAGCCATGGGTCACTCCAGGCCCAGCAGAGACCCTCCTAGTCCCCACCCTCCCAGCGGCTGAGCTTGCTGCCCTCCAAAACCTTGAGCCCCAGAGATGGGGCATCTGTGTTCACTGAAAACACCAGCCCGGGGAGCGGGGGGGCGTGCCTGCCACCCGCACCTACCCAGGAGGAGTGTCTGGAGGTAGCAGGATTCCCCCGGAGCCGCCTTGCACATGCTTTTCCCTGCAATACACGTCTTGTTCGGCTGCTGTCTGACACACACGTGGCACAGGAGGGCGCCCGCTGCATGACAGGAGAGAGAAGAGAATGACACAACTCGCCGGGCGCAGAGGGCCACCGGAGATGGGCAGGGAAATAGAGTCACCCGTCTGATCAGGAGCGTGGTGACAGGGAGCTCTCGTGTCCCTGTGTTATAGAAAGGCTGAGTGTGAATCGGCATGGGGAGCTGACCAAGCCAAGCCCATGAAATAGAAACTCATCAGGATACACACACTAGCTCTGCCTCTGACTCTCTAAATAATTGACTTATGAATTCACCACAATTGTTCTAGTGGCTTTTCAGATTTTTAAAAGGTACATCGCTGTGTTTGTAAAGCTTTTTCCTTCCTCTTTTGTTGTCCCAGGACCCAAAGAAACAGGTGTGGAAACTGACTAATTGACTATACCCAGGAAATACTGTAACTGACTTAACAGAGGGCTTAGAAACACAAAGTAAATTGGGAGGAAATAGGAAAATACCTCTCTCTCTGATCCTTTCAGTTACAATGAGCTTTTAATTTATTAATCTAGTAGTTAAAATATTTCCAACAGTGTGATTTCTATGTGGAGGGTGAATCAAACCAATCTGAAGACCCATTCCAGTTTTTCTGTGCTGCTTATGAAAGAGTTAGTGAATATTTTCAAGTGCGTGGGGGAAAAAAACCCATTCAGCATGAATCTCAAGGAGGTCAGCAGCCAGTCAGATCTCTCTATTCCGCAATCCCTGTGGCAGCATATAATCTTTCCTACCCCTATAATTTTATTAAAAATTTAATATAATGTGAAAATCACAGAGTGACTCACGTAAGTGATTGGCACTGGCTTCTGCTCACCATTTTGCAATACATGTCACACACTTCTTTGTCTTGGAGAAAAGTACTGGCAACATTCACTGCTCAGGTCAGCTCAAAATCCCCCTCACTTGTGAAACAAAGGGGCTAGGTCTGTCTCTGCCAACTGCCTGGATTCAGCACAGCTCGACTTAGCGACTGCCAGAGACGTTTCTAACAAGCTCATGGCCCTGCTGTATTTGGCCATGTTTGGGAGGCATGTCGCTGGTTTGCAGAACTCAACAGCCCTGTCTCAGTCTTACGAACCCGTCCATTTCCCTGTATTGGCTTCAGAACACTGCTGATGTTATCTGTCCCTCCGCAGGTCCTTCCCTAGGCCAGCCTGGCTTTGCCAAGGCATCTGTCACTAATGCAGAACACAGGCTGCTCTTACACTACAGTGGGGGAATACCCTCCCCTACCAACA